AAAAAAATAAAGCTGGATCAATATAAAGAGCTTGGTGGGATAGTGGCAGATCGTTCCATTTCAGGTTCAAATTTTATTTGTGTATTTTCTTTCAAACCAAATAAATCACCTTCTGGAACAAAATGGTGTATTAGAAGTTGTGTACTTAAAAATGAAGCTAGTGTGGGGTGAACTGAGTGGCAAAAAGTGTTTCACCAGTTTTCTAATATTTTTCCCTATAATGCTTTAGAAATGGAGGACACTCCTGAAAAAAAAAAAAAGCCATGACTTTTTTTTTTTTCCAACCTATACCAGGGGCTGATCCTGCTGTGCTGTGCCTGAGGAGGTGAATATATCTGCTCCCCTAAATCTGACCTGCCTGACTCCTTCTGGAGATGCATCTACTTCTCACCTGTTTTCTCTTGAACTTCCAAAGTAAACAAACCTTTTCTGTGTTTTGGATGAGAAAGCCAGTTCCCCATCTCTGCTCGTCTTTTATGAGCCATTTGCTGCTCTTCTGCCTGGAAATGTCCATGCCTTAGTATTGCTGGACATGCAGAGTTTGCAGAGCATTTTAGAATGAGTATCTCTTACTCTCTCTATTACAATATAATCTCTAGGCAATGAAATACGCTAAATTCTAACCTGAATAAATGTAGTTCATTTAAAAATATGTACCTACCTACCAGCTCCCTGTATGAAAATGGAGAACTATAAAAAGTAGACAGGCTTGTAATGGAGGGTTCTGCTAATGTTAACACATTTTTCAGTGTTCGGAAAAAATGGATTAATTTAAAAAAGCCTGGTGTGAATTTACCTGGCAGCATTTCCAATTTTTTTTAGATCATTTCTGAAGGACAAAAAAGTCCTTTGTGTGAAATAAAGTTTGTTTTACATTCGGCAACCGCAGGTCAGAGCCAAAAAATGGCTTGTTGGGGAACCAGCACGTGGCCGGGGCAGCGCGGCTTTGCCGGGCGGAGAGCGAGGCACTCACCTCTCCTGGTTCACTGCGATTTCGCAAAACACAGGAGAGGACATAGCTTGGGAGAGCCAGCTCCTAAGGGTCCAAGCACTGTGCTGGCTGCACTCCTGGGGCTAAAATGCCACGCCGAGGCCACTCACCCAGGTGTACTGGCCATGGGCTCTGTCTGCGGGGTTCTACCTATGTTGCAACAGCTTAAACAATTGAATCGCGTGGCCTGACCGCTCCATTTTGTGTAAGAAGGATTAACTGGTTTGGTTTAAAGTGCATAGAGTACATGCACGTGAGCGGCTCCCTGGAGCACCAACATCTGCAGGAAGGTCTGCGCCCAGGAGAGGAGCTGATGTCTGGCGGCTGCTGCCGCACACAGGTGATGATAAGGGATAAACGCTCCTTTCCTCCTCCCTGCTGCCTCCTGATTTAGTAGCCGGTATTCTTTGAGGTAGGCGCTGTGCTGTCCTCATCGTAATGGTGGGTGATGTTCTCGGAGCCGATGACCACACAAGCCTGGCTGGGGCTGCTGCTGGTTATGTCTGTGTGACGGAGTCTCTGCTTCGCTGGTGGGTGAGAAAAATGGAAGAAAGGCTGGTCAGCCTCAAAAAAAAAAAAAAAAAAGTTCCAAATATTTGGTGAACCGAGCAATTGCTGATAGTTTTGTTTCATGTCAGAGGAACCATTATATTCATTTTTCAAGCTTTCCTAATAAAACCCCCATTCCCACTCCTGGATTTTAAAAGGCAGCATCAATTCAAACTGAAAAATGGAAACATCTTGTTTTCAAAACACTGACAAAAATAATTGATGTTTACCCCTGTTTTCCAC